CTGGGTGTGTGTTGTCTCCTTCCCGAACTGTGATTTAAAGGAGCCTGTCTTCTTGCTTTTTCTCACCTACTTCCGGGGTAAACTCTTTTATCCGGTGTTGCGGTCCGCATAGGACTGGATTTTACGATTATCAATAACCATCCCTTTTTGACGATTTGTGGTACATGACCTGTGCTGCTTCCGTCAGGTCATTGACTCTCGAAACTTGTGTCATTGGTCCGGTGTTTCCAAAGCCTGGGGCCGATTTGTACAGTTAATCTCCACTCCTCAACCTTGTGCATATTAACGCGTTTCACCCAACTATTTCGCTCTGTCCACTTTTCCACTTACTCAGTATCCCATTCACCGCGCCCATCATTCTATTATCTTTTTATGAATGGATCGCAGATTCTTTTCGACGTGTATGTGGCTTTGGTCCTCTGTCGTCCAACCTGAACCCTCAGGTACAGACAAAAACCAGCCCAAACTGATCGAATGTGTATACTGCCCTCGCCACATCCCTCTCTTCATCTTGTTCACCTGATGTATTTATATGATGACCTGTGCCCCTCCGCCATATATATTCCCTCCTTTTAGACTATTGACCAGATTGTTTCGCTTCACTGTCTCTTACGCGCATACATCGCGACTGTATTCCATATACGCGTGTTTGTTTGGCGGAGAGATAAAGATTCACTGTTTGAGTCTGTATGTTGGTTAGGTGTTTGTGGTTCTGTTTGGTGACAACCAATTCCCGACCCTCAAACTTTCTGTTCGCTTTAAACATCGGCAGTCTATACGCTGTGATGATGGTGTTGCTATATGCCAAACTCGTTTTCTCAATTTCGTGGTGCGTTAGCGTTGCGCACGTATTACTTCTTTGGTCCCGATTCCATTTTGGTTTATCGATAATTTCGTTCGAAACACAAATGCAGTTCACCGGGTGAAACTTACGAACTGTGCCCACGGAATTTCGCACTGATGGTAATACTCCCTTGCTGCTGTTCCTGTTGTTTTTGCTGCCGTTGCTGCTGGCATTATCGTTATCGCTAATTTCCTCTGCTCTTTTTGTCGCTTTCCGTACTCCCACCCCTCCCCACACACCTTAGTCATTCAAAGTGATTTGGCCGTATGTGTCTTGCTATCGCGTTGTTCTCGACGCTGGCTGCATTACTTTCTCACAAAACAATAGGTTAAATGAACATACTCTTCTTGTGCCCACCTGGTCAGTTTGGGGAAGAAAGAAAAGGTTTCAGCAATTAGCATTTTGAATATTGTGACAAAACCGCAATCGGTACCTTTTTGTGTGTTTCAGGGTCTCTGATATTCGCTCTCAAAATTGGTCGAATACACCTTGGCTTTGATTCTGAACCCATTGGGTCCAAACTAGAAAAAATGTAACCAAGGCTGTTTTCGCAGTCCACATTTTGTGCCGGAACTGGCCACTTAACTGTCCTTCTAGATCTACTCGGGGGTTGCAGGTAGATGTCCGTAGGGAAAGTGACGAGTAGATACCCATAATTTTCTAGCTGTTAAAAGCTGTACCGTGGCAAGAGGATGACCATCTTCTCCCCATACCGATCGTCCAACCGATGCTTTTGTGGTTCGGATGTCAAGAATCAATTTTAGCTGTTTATTGAAACAGGCAACGGTAATGAGGAAGCTGGCAATCAGATCAGCGCAATCGCAAGGGGCGCAAACCCTACTCATAGTTTGTTTGCTGTTAAGATTAAGATTCCACTTCTGTGTTTAGAGATACCATTTCACGAGCTGTTTGTAGAGATTTTCTAACTTCAGTACGAGGGGATCGTTTCTATTATTATGTCTTGAAGAATAATGTTACTAGCTATTTTTGAAGCTCGGTTTTGTCTTTGCATAGAACTGAAGGATGTTGCACGCTGCCCATCCATCGTGTTTTGCCTCCGAATCGCACCAGTGTCCAAAAGAATCACGTGATCCATGTGTGAGCGAAAACCTAGATTCCTCCCGACCAGCTTTTGGTTGTATTGGCATACATAAATTTGGACCGGTTACTTCCTAATCCGTGGACTTGCCATTGCTTGTGAATAATTCAGTTGACAGCGTTCCGTATGACTTCAGTCATAATTCCCCTAATTGATGCAGTATATGTGCCAAGACGTCTCGGACCCTCCAGCGTCCCCATCTTTTTTGACTGCTTCCTTTCCGGTGGCTGTATTTTCTTCATCTGTAAGATTCTTCCTAATCCATCTTACTTCCCTTGGGCACAGAAGCTGACTTGGTAATTCGGGATGGATTGACAAAAATGCTTTCGAAGAGATGCACATGCCAAGAAAGATAAACTGCGGGTAGAAGTTAGTCATTGTGGCTACCAAGGAAAGAACTCAGCACTGCGCCATTGGCTACATCATCTCATCATCGTACAGCGGAATACAATGAAGCGAACTTCACTGATCGCTGCCAAACTCGCAATGCATACAAGATTAGTGGTGAAATTTAAGGTGGACAGGAAATGAACCTACAGAGTGCACAATCGAACTCTGCATATATACCTTTTCAAGTGTTCCGGCCTGATAAGAAATGACAACAAGAACGCCACTGCTGTCAGTTCGCTGCCATATCCTTCAATGTCTCCAACCAACCGGTTGTGGAGACTTTCGGACCCCAACCTGGAAGGTGAGAGACACCTACTCTGCCTAATGGCTCTGTGCAATTCTTCATACCTCGTCTCCGTATCATCTGTTGACCTTCACGCGGTTTCCCCAGCCCGGATTAGCTGCAGCCAATAAAGCGCAGTGCGGCAGATGATGGCTGGGCATACGCAATAAGTGCTCTAGCCAACGAAGTTTACTAATCTGATTTCGCTGTGCTAACAGGTTTATCCCTGATAGATTCCCGAACACACGGCGGCTTGCCTCTGCGATGGTGGTGGTGGCCAATTGGTTAGGTCACCAACTAGTGACCTGTAAGTCCCGGGTTCGAACCACTCTACCGCCGCCCGCCTTCCCATACAGTCTTTGTATGGCCGCGGCCCCCTTCCTGAATGTTGACTGTATATTTGTATATTCAATAAATAAAAAGGAAGTGAAAAGACATTTACATTTGCTAACCCGTTCGCTCCGCCCCACGTGAGCTAAACTGCGTAAACACCGATGATCGAAAGGTTTTAGTAGATGGATACTCGCAAGGTTTCACAACCATAAAGCAGAACCGAACGAACGCTAGCACAGTATACACGACCTTTGAGCTTTAATGAAACGTCGTGTCTACACCAAAAGTGTTTCGGTCCTGTATATGCTGCTCGAGCCTTGGAAACGCGGGCGGTTATCTCCTTTGCTTCGCTACCGCCATTGTTTACGCAACCACCTAGGTAGGAAAAGCAATCCATCATAACTAATTCCTGACCATTTAGTTTCAGAGAGGGAGTAGGCGAAACCCAATCCTGCAGCATCACTTTGCACTTTGATGGTGTAAAGCATATATCGAATGTGGCAATTGCACTTGTTAGTCTATCAAGTGTGCTTTGCGCGTCCTCCATACATTCGAACAGACAGACGACGTCATCGGCGTACTCTAAATCGCACAGCTTTTCTCCACCTGCCTATTCAATACCTACGTTTTGGAACCCACTTAGTGCGTTCTCCAGTATTTCTTCTACTACGAAATTGAATAGTAATGGCGAGAGACATCCTTGACGAACGCTGCTGCTGGTGGTGAATGGCCTACTTGGTTCACCATAGACCCTTACACCACCAGAGATATGTGAGTACTGTGACCTCAGTAAGTTAACGTACTTCTGGGGCATTCCTTTTTGAAGAGGGGAGCCCATCAGAGCTTCGCAGTCAACTGAATCGAAGGCTCCATTCAGTTCAAGGAATATTGCGATCTTTGGTCGGCGGTGGGTGTGACGCAGCTCTAGGACCTGGCGTAACGCAAAAATTGGATCAGTGCATCCACTGCCAGGCCGGAATCCGGCTTTCTGTTTACGGATGTTGATCTCTCTTAAAGGGGTCAAACGTCGAAATATGACCGAGGCTAGCACTTCGGTGACGATCGGGATCAAACTGATTCCGCGGTGTTTTTCGCAATCGTTTCAAGATCCGTTTTGGAAATGGGAACGATCAGCGATTCGCCCCAAGATGGAATGCGCTCTTGCCTCCAAATGTTGCACAGTAAGGTATTAATACAGCTTACGGGGCCATCACCGCCCATCGTAAAAAGAGTGGGAGGGAGCTCATCTGGTCCTACCGCCTTGCCAATGACTACGGGCCCGAGCCCTTTCGGGGATTGTCTCTAGACATTGCTGATGTTCCGTTCGATTCTTATCGTGGGGAAGC